CATGAGCATCGAAGAGCATATCAGGGTCATGAACGAACGCAAGTGCCTGGCTGCCAACGCCCTGGTCAAGGCATCAGCAGGAGAGCAGCAGCAGGTCGAGGACAACCTCTACAGCATCGCGCAGGCGTATCAGGCGAGGCAGCCAGCAGACAAGAAGGGCGACGACTTGGCCGACCCGATCTGCGCCGAGATGCTGTTCTGGCAGTCCGTGAAGGACAGCGGGTTCGCCTGCCCGACGAGTGGCAAGGTCCACGCCATCGCGGGCAGGTGGGGGCGCGCCAAGAAGTCGAACCCCCAGCTGAAGGCCGAGTACAATGGCATCAGCTGCCCCAAGGCGCAGGAGAAGTTCAGGAAGGAGTGGGCCGAGAACAACTACGACAAGTACATGAGCGAGCGCATCGAGACCCAGAAGAAGACGAAGTCCTCCAGCACCGTGAGGTTGGGGCACCAACCAACGGGCCCGCTGCATCGGCGCGTGAGGGCAGAACGACGCACCGCGACTCTCAGGGATCCTGCAAGATCTCTGAGGGTGGCTCGTGCGTCTGTCTGCCCCGATGCGCTGATCCGCGAGCCTGTTGCGCGCTGCCTCTTGCAAGGCAGTTCCTGCCCCTCGGCAGGATTGCGTGGCTTGAGGGCGGAGGTGCCGAGGGGCTACGTGCCGCCATCCAGAATGCCATGTCGTGCCTCACTGCTGGCCAGGAGAACTACGAGTACCATGAGAATACCCGCAAAATTCGCTGGGCGTACTCGGTCAATTCGCAGACAGACACCATGCAGCGCGAGTGGGAGATCAGGCAGACTTGGAGGTACGAGCAGCACAGGAAGAAGCAGACGGAGATCGTCGCGGCGCAGATGCCTTCTGGCGGAGCACTGGCTGCCTCGGGTGGAGCACAGGCGGCCGCAGCATCTGAGGTGACTCCCAACACGAGGCCGAGGGCGATCGATGGCTCGGAGAGCGCCGAGAAGGCGGGCCAGGAGATCACTACTGGGGGCTCGGGCAAGGGCAAGGGCAAGAAGCGCACGCACACTGACGGGCAACATGATCCTGGCCCACGGACGCCTGCAAGGCCAAAGGCCAAGGCTAAGGTCGAGAAGCCACGTGGGCTTGCAGCGATCAAGGGCACGAGCGAGACCAAGGCGAAGGTGATGAAGGGCCAGTACTCAATCGTGCTGATGCAAGCGCAGGAGTTCTACACAAAATTGACCACCCAGAAGAAGTGGTCGTGGGCTGAGGAGGACAAGCAGCAGATGAAGAAAGAGATCGAGCAGCTCGAGCAGATCGTGCAGAGCGACCCGTTCCACGTTGGTTTCTTGATGTCGGTCGATTTCAACGAGTTCAAGAAACATTACTTGTCGAAGTATTCGAAGGAGGACTTCCAGGTTCGTTTGGAGAAATTCAACATGGCGATCGACTCCCCGCTCCTCAGGGTCCTGGACATGATGTCGGCGCTCGCGAAGCAGCAGGCCGTCCGCGAGGATCAGAGCAGGGGCAGCGCGTGAGCTATTTACGGTCTCACGCTTCGCCGATGCCGATGCAGGCCACTTGAGCCTTTCTGATGATGGGGTAGTTGAAGTTGGAGGTGGAGGACGAGGAGGAGGAGGAGGAGGAGGAGGAGGAGGAGGAGGGGAGGAGGAGGAGGAGGAGGAGGAGGAGGAGGAGGTGGGGGAGGGCCCACGGGGGGGGACAATGCAGGAAAGGGGGAGATGGGAAAGAGGACGAGGATAGCGGAGCGAAGAAGAAAATGTGGGGGATCAGAAGGAAGGTGACGGGGATGAGGACTAGGAGTTTGATGAGCAGGCAGAGGAGGAAGACGAGGAGGGCAGTGCAAGTTGGAGGGATGATGACGACTAAGGGGAAGGCCAGGAGGACACGAGACGGCAAGATGACTTTGAGAAGCATCGGCATCCTAATGATATCGAGGTCAGCACGCTGCCTCCGAGGTCGCAGTCCTCTCGCGAGAGCTTGCTCGTGGGATTACACTTTGGCCGCTGTGGCCGCCAGAGCAGCGCGTGATATTCGGGGGGGTATAGGAGGATATGGAAACAATCCGTTAGCGCCTGCTTGTTTTTTTTCGGGCTGGGGTGGCGACACGTGGAGCACGCGGCGCTGGCACTTGAGGGCGAATGCCCTTATCTGGCATAGGGGCAAACTGGGGTGCTTTCAATCTGCGAGCGTCGAGCGCGACCACAGTTGCAGGCCCGAGTGCACTCGGCTGCTAGTCGCTCTCTCTCTCTCTCTCTCTCTCTTTCTCGCTCACCCACCTCTCTCTCTCTCTCTCTCTCTCTCTCTCTCTCTCTCTCTCTCGCTCACTCTCTCTCTCTCTCTCTCTCTCTCTCTCTCTCTCTCTCTCTCTCTCTCTCTCTCTCTCTCTCTCTCTCTCTCTCTCTCTCTTCTCTCTCTCTCTCTCTCTCTCTCTCTCTCTCTCTCTCTCTCTCTCTCTCTCTCTCTCTCTCTCTCTCTCTCTCTCTCTCTCTCTCTCTCTCTCTCTCTCTCTCTCTCTCT